GCATGTATGGGAACCCTAGTTGAAAATGTTTACTACTTATGCTTTTAGAATAATAAATACTTTTTCGTATAAATGTGCTGAAAATCAAGTTCTTTCCTTTTTTTCTTTCTATAGTGGAGATAGTAGCACGTAATTACAGACATATTATTAAAGTGGTAAGAACGGGTTTCGTTCTAGTGCCCGAAAAGAATATTCCAAAGCTTTTCCGTTACAGAACCGTACGTGAGATTTTCATCTCATACGGCTCCTCCCTTATGTGCATAATGAAAAGCAAATAATATATATAATAAATAATAAGCTTTCAATATTATAATTCTAAATTTAGTGGTAGTGGGGCTAGTGTTTTTACAAGAAATCTCTAGCCTGCGAAAGATCTTTTTCTTTTTTTAGTATCAAGCTGTTGATACTAGATATATAAAACTAGATATATAAAAAAGGTAACTCCAAAAATGTCTTTGTCCCCAACGCCCATGAATTTCAAGGAATTAAGAACTTCAACAGTCTTCTATGGGGTATCCAAAGTACGAACGAGATGGATTTTGTTGTACCAACCATTCTTGTTAATCCCGATCCCGATAAGGAAAGGGGGTAATTTCTAACAAAGTTTTCGTTTTTTTTAATTCCTAGGCGTAGTGCTTTTTCCCCTATGCCGCCTATTGGTACTAGTGGAGTAGAGTTGGCCTACAATAAATAATCCATAGGTGTAACCTTTCGCTCAATACTAAAATCGACAATTGAAGCATCTAAGGCTGCATTAATCGGGAATACACGACAGAAGGAATTGGTTTATTTACAAACCTCATCTCTGCCCTTCAACTGAAACAAACTATCAACCAGGGCTGAATCCTCAAATAAGGAAGGAAGAAGGAGAATTTTGAAAAGAAGGACATTAATGCTTTATGAAAGCAATCTGTACGAGGCCTCACTTTCTAAGAATCAGGAGAATCAACTGATACAGGTAGGTGATTTGGTATATAACCAAAGGAAGAGCAGAGGGAAAAAACTCCTTTGCCAAAGACTCTTTGAATCAGAATTGTCTTCTTCTGAATCAGGGGAAACCCTTCAGACTTGTTTTCATTCGAGAGAACAGAGTGAATCATAAAAGGGTTGAATCATCCTTTATTTCCGTACGCAAGCCATGGAAGGACATCTACTGTACTACCAGATCTCCATAAGAAGAAGATCCCCTTTCATTCCCATTCCATTGAACCGCTTAGGTGGTATAAGACTAGACTGAGAATCTTGAGCTTGAGTGAGAACTTCAATCTTCTTGGAGACACGGTAGGCCTTGTCATCTGATTGATCTCTTTCCATAACAGCTTTTAGAAGACATGAAGTGAAGGTAGGGTGTTGAGGGTTCTACCAACGCCATGCATCTTAAGAGTTAAGGTACTATGCCTAAGTACTCGGGCTATATGAGTCTAGGTCAGACCCTGTGTTTAGTCTCAAATGAAAATCGAAACATTCTACTCGCTTCCAGGTCGAAGAAAAAAGTAGAGACAGACCTTGTTACCTGATTGGTAACGTGCTAGTCCTTATTAGCTTGCCTATATTAGAGAGATCCCACTTCTTCCTATAGCTTGTTAAAGCTATAATTCGATCTTGTTTACTCGCTACTTGATCTCTTTTTTCATATAATGTAATATTACATAAAAAATAGCTTCTCGTAGATGCATCTTAGCTAGCTAGGAATCTATTAGAAGCATAAGCTGTCCGTTCAATCTAAAATACTAAAATAATGAAATAATAAGAAATAGGGTTGAGTAGTGGGAGAGAAGCTAGATGAGAAGCCAGAATGAGCATTCGATCTGATCTTACCTGCATGTAAAGGATAGCTGGGAAGACGAAGCGAGAGAGTGAAAGACCATCGGATGGATCTCTCTGGGGACTGTGAAAGATTTGATAGGAAGTCTATCTTTTCGGGAAGCAGGCGCTATGAAACGAGATGGGATGTTCTAGAGAATATAGGAAGCTTATGTGCAGGTAAGTGAAATACCTGGTTGTCGAGTCATTCAGCGAATGTATGATTCCTAGTTCGATCCAAAAGGTAGAAATTCCTTAGAAACGACTGGGAGCTCTAGCCCATTTCTATTTCCAGGGGACTATCGAGAAAGAGAAAGGATCAAGCTCAAAAATTCCTGCGAGCAGCCAGCGGAGATCGGGGAAACGGGAGAAGAACGGCTTTGTGCCATTAGAATCCTTTTCTGCCAGATAGCCTTGACCTAGCTTCCCGGAAGAATCTCCGGAGCTTAGAAGCACTCTTTGAGACTCTGCCCGCCCTTATGAGAAGGAGTCAAGAAGATAGGAGGGAGGATAGCTATGATCCTGCCAAGGTTTTTTCAAAAATACAACTTTAGGCTAACTAAAATAGCTTTTAGAAAGCTGGAAGCGCGGAATCCTAGTAGTTCTAGGTCTCCGTTTTCTTCAGGTAAAGTCTCCGAATATAGCTGTTACTGATAAGGTAGAAAAGCAAGGTTAGCTGTCGGTTTGGTAGTAAGCAACATCGGAAGGTAGCAGAACGAAGTATTGCGAATGCAATAGTCCCAGCTGCCAGAGTTTTTTAGAGACTGAAGCAGGTCGAGAGCCAGACAGGCTAACGAGCGAGTGTAGTTGCTTCAAAGCGGGATATGAAAAGGAACCGCTGCTAGGAGGACTGTCCTCACTGAACCTGAAAAGATATTAAATCAATTCGTCCGGGGAAGTGAGAGAATGTTTTTTCCAAGGCTAGGGTTGCCCAAGACGTGATGAAGGGGTATCGGGAAGGAATTTAGCGAACAAGCTATAGCACTCTCCTGAGAATTAAGAGGGGAAAAAGCCACAACTGGATGATAGCAAGCCTGGGCTTACGTCGGGAAAAAGAGCGCTGCCTATTCATGTTCAGGTACGAAGTGTGAGTTCTTAAAAAACGAATAAACGAACTCGACCAGGAGAGTAATGGACTCAGGTTTGAGTTCTTATAGTAGAATGAAGATCGAGTGAAGGCCTTTGAAAAATGCAAAAGCTTCAGGAGCCAGGAGAAAGGAAAGAATAGTGACTTCCTGGGAGGAGGCGTAGGTGATAGGAAGCTAATCAAGGACAGGCTAAGGATTCGAACAGTCCGTGGGACCTTCAAGGAAGAAGTGAGATAAGCTAGGATGCGTGTGATAGAGTAACCCCTAGCGAGTATAAGTGGATCAGCGCTTCTTTCTTACCCTTACCTAAGCAGTGCCCTTCATTCAGGGTTTCAAGGATCGGTATCGAGATAGCAGCTCGAGGAATCCCTGACTTGCTTGCCTTTTATTTCAGGTATGAAACAAATAGCAGTCCAGGTCTATAAGTAGAAAGGCTCAAGGAAATGCGAAGTATAGAGAGTATAAGATAAGCTAAGATCTAGACTCCCAGATACCAACGAGCGGGATTAGCTACCAAGCGGGGGAGCTTCAGGAGACTGATAGATGATAGGTAGGTGGGTGGGAAATCAAGAGAAGTGACAAATGATACTCTTAATGGATTTGTCAATTTTCATCCTTTTTCATGGGGCAAGAGCCAGCCCATTCTTATAGCATCCAAGGAAAGAAAAATGCCCATGGCAGCTCTTAAAAAGATAGGAGAGGAGTGTGAGTCAGTCGAGTCGAGAAGCAACTCATTTATAAGTTAAAAAAGTTTAAATAAAGGGCGATTTCCAAGTTTCAAGGAAGAGTGGATTAGCCTCGAATATCTTGATCCACTAGAAAGAGAATTACCAGATACGAATACAAATACAGTTGGAGATCAATAAGCCAAAAGCTTTAAGAAAGCTATAGTAAGGTCAGATTACAGGAAGAGCACAGGTCAGTCTTCTTCATAAGTTCCCTTCCCGTCAGGATAGGGCGAAAGTTGCTTTGTCTTTGTATTCAACGAGTGATTCAGAGTTGTCTTGCCTTTCTAAATTCAAGCATGTCTGTTATGCTAGTTCATCTATAGAACGTCAAGACCTTGTCTTCCGTAAGCTAGATACCCGAGAAAGTCGATTAAGGTCATACTTTTTCCTTAGAAAAAAGCCCACCCACGTCTGGGTCATAAGTTTGTCTGCCCATTAACAACAAGAAAGCCAATTCATAGCGCAAGGAGGATAAAGGAAGGGTAGGAGCTATCCAGTAGAATGCTAGGGCACAAAAGCAAGAAGAGGACCTCGCTACACGAATTGAAAGGAAAGCTCGGACTTCTAAAAGGCTTCGAATAACATACATAATATCGTTCATTTTTCCTCCAGCAAGGAGCAGAGCCAGTTCAACTCATGAAATGGATGCTTTCGTAGGGACAGTATGCCTTTTAAGCTAGATAAGGCCTGACCGGCTTCGCGGGATCATTTCCACTCTCTGGCTAGGCACTCTTTTTGTAGGCCTGAAAGCTCATTCCTAAATGGGAGATAAAGTGCCTTTTCGATTCTTCCTTCCTGCTTGTGTGCTTTCCCTAGGAAAATTGACTCATTCTAGCTCTCCTCTACTTCAACCACTAAGCGCTTCGCTCCTTTAATTAAGAATCGAAAATCTCGCCTTTTTTGGCATGAACATATAGCATGTGTGCCGTGAGGTCAATCACTCTCAGTTCTTCTTTCGAAATTCTCGAACATGATGAAGAGCTCTTATCGGCTTGAGGCTTCTTTTCAAGCTGAGTAGAAATTTCATAAGAGAAGAAAGAAAGTTGCCTAGTTCTGATTCAAGCTATGCCACAAGGCTATCCGAGTTCACAGGCGTAGTTGCGTATCCCTGAGATTGGGTTTGTGTTCAGTGGGGTCGTTGTCCATTTAGGTGCAAGTGGAATTTTTGGGGTAAGCTAATGGGTTAGCCGACATAGCGCAGGAGTTGCTAGTTGGTGATGAAGTGTGATCCTTCGAAAGAGTAACTACAACGAAGGTGATCAAAATGTAAATTCGGAGAGAGAAGAGATTTGAATTCCGTTCCGTAAGTAACTCAGTGAGTGCTTTCTAAGGCTTGAAAGAAGAAAATGAAATACGAACAACCGCGTAGGTCGTACAGAAG